TGACCCTCCCCTGCTCATGCTGTCTCTTTCTCTCTCTCTCCTAGAAATAAATAAAACATTAAAAAAAAAAAAGTGCTAAATTTATGCTTCACCTGAAAATGCCTTTGGAGTCGATGTCATTACCTTTGCCCAATTCTCTCCTAGATTCTCCATCTCCTATTGCTGCAAGAACACTGATATTGGTGGCTAAATCTGTACAGAACTTAGCAAATCTTGTGGAATTTGGAGCTAAGGTAAAAACCCTTTGATGTTTTAAAATGTCATTTACAATGGAAACTTTGACATGTTCAAATGATAAAATATGGATGGTTTAAGTAGATTTTCAATAAGCATTTACTCTAACTTGGATGAATTTTTAAAACACCATATAGATCCCACTTCCTAAAGATTGTTAATATTTGGTGGTGATCATACTGTGGCGCCTGATTTAACAGACTTCTTGTTGTACAACTATTATTTCTAATGATTATTATGTTCTGTAGCTGTTAAATACTCCTGTACTGCTTATTTAGATGGCTTCCAACATGTCACTCTTATAAACACTGCTGTAACAAGTATCCATACATACTTCCCTTCAAAACTGTCCAGTTATTGGAGTACGGAGAGCAGTTTGTAGTATGGTTTAGCATCTGAATTTATCTGAATCCTGAAGCAAGCTGGGAGTAGTATGTATTCCTGCTGCAGTCTTTAGCACTCTGTATTTTAATTATCTATATTCTCTGCTAAATTCCTCTGGGTTGGGCCCATGTTTATCTTGGCAGTTGGCAAGTAATAGTTTCTCAGTAATTCTTTTTGAATTAGTTGACCCTTGACAACAGGTTCAAATGCACAGGTCCACTTATTCATGGCTTTTACAATACGGTATGTTTTCTTTTCTCTCGCTTACTTTATTGTAATAATACAGAATAGAATACATGCAACATATAAAATATGTGTTAACTATGTTATCAGTAAGGTTTCTGGTCAGAACTAGGCTATCAGTCAAGTTTTCACGGAGTCAAAAGTTATTTGGGGGGTCGTTGCTCCATGTTTTCTTTTTATCCAGAACTTCTTACTCTTTCATTAAACATACTCCAGTTCCACAGTACAGTTACTTGCTTTTTTTAGAAGGAAAAAAAATTGTATGGTTAAATTAATTCTTGTGAACATGGATTGCTACTCATGGGCATTATTAGATTTATAAGAATTCTTGCTACGTGTATGGTGGTTATCGATCAGTGTTTGTTTTTCACATATATAGTAAGATTTTTGTTTTTATATTTTTAGGAGCCCTATATGGAAGGTGTGAATCCATTTATCAAAAGTAACAAACATCGTATGATCATGTTTTTAGATGAACTTGGGGTATGTGTATAATTTTTGAAGTACTTTTAAGACCTATAGTTAATATAGCTGAGAGTTAATGGATTTAGATAATAGCTTAGACAGATCTGACCAGGTTTATCAAAAAGGTGATCAGTTCAGCCAGGTGTTAAGACATTAGGGAATGCTAGAGGAGGAGACTGAGCTGCCCATGTCCTGCCTTACGGTATTCAAATCCAGTTAAAAACAGCCACACCTGCATGCAATGAATGAAGGCAACCCGCACTGCCGTAGGGTCCCGAGTTTGTAACCTCAAGGATAAAAACAAGTATAAAAGAAGTTATTTACAGCATAGGTCCATACTTAGGATAAAAAGGGTAAAACTGAGAAAGACAGTGGCAAATGTCCATGTTTCTTATATATGAATTCAGGCAAATTTCGCAGATACACAAGTATTTCTCATTACCAAAAAACAGAGTTGGGGGTCCAAGATTGAAAAAAAATTATGATAGTGATGTTTAATGAAGTATGAAAACTGTCCAGGGGTGCCTGGGTGGCTCAGTCAATTAAGCGGATGCTTAACTTTGGCTCAGGTCATGATCCCATGGTTCACGGGTTCAACCCCCATGTTAGGCACTGCTGACAGCTTAGAGCCTGCTTTAGACTCTATCTTGTCTCCCTCTCTCTCAAAAATAAACATTAAAAAAATTAAAACTGTCCAGTATTTAAGGCTAGCTAGCTTTATCTTCACCTACATCTCTAGGGTTTCAGATTCTTCAGGTTAATGGTTAGGGCTCCATTAATATTCCATAATCACAGGTGTCCACATTCCAGCTTCCTCATCACTTTCCGAGTTAGGCCTCACAATGTAACCTTTCTAAGTGCTTCGAATTCCCAGTATTTTAATACTCTTCCTTTCTCCTCGTGTTCTTTCTGGTATTCCTTTACCACCTGCACAAGTCAAATTCATCTCTCAAGACTCACCTCAAATACCTCCTTCAGAAGGGCTTTGATGAGTACCAGATCTGAATCAAATACCTTTTGTTGTGCTTCCTAAGAATCCTCTGCACATCTTTGATATCTGTGTTGCTGGATTAGTTTACCCGTCTTCTAGAGACTGCAAGCTCTCTCTAAAAGGCAAAAACTGTAGTCTTTTCTAAGTTTCTTTATTTTGAGAGTCAGCGAGTGGGCAAGCAGGAGAGGAAGAGAGAGAATCCCAAGCAGTCTCTGCACTGGCAACACAGAGTCCAGTGTGGGGCTTGGACACACAAACTGTGAGGTCATGACGTGAGCTGAAATGATGAGGCAGACACTTTTAATGGACTGAGTGACCTAGGTGCCCCTATAGTCTTTCACTTCTGTAATCCTTCATTCATTGCACAAGTGAGTTAATTAACAAAAATGAACTATATTCCAATGGTATGTTCACACTGCAGAAAACCTGCAGTTTTTAGGAATGTACAGCAAGTATTATCACCATTAGGGAGCTACCAGCAGTCTGACCCCATGTTAAATTTTATTCTCAGGCTCAAACTAACATTGATTATTTAGTGCTAACAAAACACTAAGTTCTTTAAATGAACCTTACCTGAAGATACCACAATTAACAGTGATGATTTCCACACATAACCAAGTGTTTTGGGCATTGTCCACAGATAATTACAGGCCTGACAGGTTCTCATCACACTTTCATAGTGAAACTCTTACATATACTGATAAACTCAAACCATAGCAGCTGAATAATGAAGTTTAGTTTGGAAGAGGAGGCATTTTAAGTTTAGGCTGCATTTACTACAGATTAGCTGTTACACTGGTTTGTTGTTTTTTTTTTGGTGGGGGGGGGGGGGAGTTGCTTATGTACCAGATCCAAAAAATCCAGAACTCTTAATAAAAAGAATTTAGGAAGCCCGTTTATTTAGAATAACAATACTGTACAATATTCTGCCATTATGTGGAAGAAAACCAGAGCCTAGATCACAGATTTTATGTTTTATCAGAATTAGCATTTGGTGTTACATTTCAGTAAGTCCTGAGAATATTATCTAAGCGATTACGATGTTTTCAGAAGTGACTACAGAAATTTGTATTTGTAAATATAGTTTTATGATTCTCTTAAAGAATGTACCCGAACTTCCGGACACTACAGAGCATTCTAGAACTGACCTGTCTCGTGATTTAGCAGCACTGCATGAGATCTGTGTGGCCCATTCAGATGAACTGCGAACGCTCAGCAATGAACGGGGTGCGCAGCAGGTAGGTTTTTACCAGCCTTCATTAGTGGTGATGTTTGATTAGCACTTAAGCACAGTATCAGCAGCAGCAGACTTAGAGGTAATTCACTGAATTCTGGTCAAAACTGTTATCAGTTATATTTTCAAGAATGTGAATCATAACTCCACAAAGATTTCAGCAAAGGAATAGTGGACCCAGAGTAAAATTATGTATGTGTGCTAGTGCAGTGTGAACTCTACTGAAAAGCGATGATATTACACACTTCCGTGATATGTGAAGATGGCAAGTAAGCAACGAAGTTATTAGTGAGGTGGCATTTTCTTTCGGTTTCTCTCACATACACAGTGCACGGCTAAGTGACCTGCAAGCTCCAGATTCAGAGATTCTGGAGCGTGGCCTTGGAACATGACATTTCTAATAAGCTCTTTGTGAATACTGTCACCTTGTAGAAGAGATTTAAGCACTGTGTTTGGGGCCTCGGAGTTTTCTTCAACTCCAAATCCTCAAGTTTCGATAACACTCTGTCTGGCTCATTAAAAGCTTAGGTAGGATGTGTGCCACTGGCCTCCTTACATATCCATGGTACGTATGATGCCTCCTAGCTACACTGGTGTGGTATATTATGGTGTGCTTTAATGTTCTTATTGGACAATTTGACTTAATTTAGGCATAGTCCTTTTTCTTCCGTGATCTTTTAAGTATTCACTAGTATTCGTCCACTAGGCTGCAAGTTGAAAGTCCTTACATCGTCTTACAGGGCTTAAGATGTACATGTCATTTATGATGATAAATGTCTTTTCTGACAAGTTGGTCTATCCGAAGTAGGTATGAGAATGCCACACAAATGAATTTGCTTTACAAGTGTACAGCAATTCTATCTGGACGAAAGACACGGAGTCTAGGACTAAAGAGCAACCTTCACAGTTTCAGGCTTAGAGTAGAATGGCTAATATTTTTTTAATTCCTTTGAATTGATAATGGCTTTTTACACATCCAGTTTCCCTGAATGAACTGTCATCTATTTACTACTAATCATTTTTGTACCATTCTTTGTTCATTTAGCATGTACTGAAAAAGCTCCTGGCCATAACAGAACTGCTTCAACAAAAACAAAACCAGTATACAAAAACCAATGATGTCAGGTAGCAGCCTTTGCCCAAGTGCTCTGCTTGAATTCAGCATGTCTCCTTTGCTCTTGCCAAAAAATAGCACACTTTTCCACATTCCAGTGACGTGTGAGCTATGCAAACAAAATCCAAGATTCTGCTGGTGAGTAACTGCCAGCAGCTTTTTGTAAGCTATCTGTGCAGGATATTTGCACTTTTTCCACATATGGAATCAATCTACCAACTTCTGAGCCTTGGTGTACAGATCACCTTTCACCCAACAAAATGCTATGACTGACTGTATCTTGAACTTGGAAAATGTATTTTCAGTACATCCAATTGCCAAAGTTACTTGCTATGTTTTGGAAAAAGAACTATGAAATCAACTGACAGACAATTGAAGATAACTGGATCGCTGACTGATCTGGAACTTCTTTCTGATTAAGAATATGACCGTTTGACTGTTCATTGACTGTTTGTATTTACAGTTTCCAGAGTTAACAGAAACAATCTTTGCTGTATACTTTTTTAAAATACTGTGCTATTTCTCTTGCTGGAACTGTTGAAAGAAAATATATAGAATGGATCATCAGCTTTATTTTTTAAACATACCACTTATTTTGTTGGAATTTGACATCAAAAACTGTATTTAGATGTCATGACGCTTTCGTTAAATGTTTACAACAGTAAATAGTTTGAATTCAATAAATATTATTGGTCGTTGTACTGATCAATGCATGTTCCCCATTCATCGATTCTATAGATAATCAAGTTATTTTGTGTTTTAAAACACCTGGAATGCTTTTGTTGAAAGTATTCATTTCCAAACTGTTTTTTTTTAAACAGCTCTCCCTCTTTGAACTTCTGACTACTTGTTCTATCTGCTGCATATTTAGTTTGTATAGTTTTATTTGCTTCTGTATATGTATTTTTTGTGAAGTATTCACAAGGGTTAAGTTAAAATAAAACCAAGGGATATCTTGAATAATTGACTACTTCTGTCTATCCAGCTAATAAGCATTTCATTGCATTCTTTTCTTCCTCCTTTAGGGGCAGTTCAAATTTAGTACTAGAGCAATGCCTAGCAAGAAAAAGACAAGTAACAGTTCCTTCCCTCCCATGATGGTGTAGGAGAGAAACTAGTACATGGCATAAAAGCCTTTTTCCCAGGAAAAGAAAGCCTTCGGTGGAGGCAGGTGAGCAGTGACGTTCAACAGCCCAGTGCTCCCTTTTCATCACTCCTGCTCTACAGCTAGACTTCCATGGCAGTGTCCCACCTGGGTTACAGTATAAGGGACAGGGATGAGTGACAGCTCCAAAAATGTATGTTTCGACAATACGCAGAGGTCCACATTCTACTATTAGGCAATTTGGTTCTCCTCCACTGATCACATCTCCGTCTTCAATCATACTGACCTATCCCCTGAAATGCTTCTCCCTCTTCTGCCTTTTATATTTTAATGCCATGTTTATCTTTTAACCTTGAATAGGAAACGTGTCATTTACCTTTGTAGGCCTTGCAGTAACTAGTTGGGTCAATGATGAAATAAAGCCTCTAAAACTTTCAAAACGGGGCTGGGTGGGAGACTCTGCCGAGATAAATGTGGACCTTGCTCGGACGCCAGAGTTTACTGACCTAAAAGACAAACAAGGTAAATTACCAACACTGCAATCCTGTCTAGAGGCTAGCAGCACTGCTACATAACTCTGAATACACTGGAAAATGGTCAACTTAAGCTTCTTCCGTGCGACTTTTATAAAATCACACTGCATGAATTTCACTGCTCATTCTACAGTGAGAAGGAACTAAAAATAAAAAAACTGCACATTCTTCTAAAAATTTTCTATGTAGTAAATACTTCCCTCAAATACGGAGATGTAATTAAAATCTACTCTAATGGAAGGTGCAGCCTGGGATGCATGGACACCAAAGACAGCTGTGTATCCATATAATTCAGACTCACAAGGCTATTCAGTTTCAAAGAAGTCCTTCAACCAGTTTCCCAGAAAAAACTGAACAGACATCCATAATTTGGCTCCAACTTAGAAACAAAATAGTAAGATCACAGTTAAATACAGCCACTATTCCAGTTAATCCCAGGAAACACAGGCAGTTACTTCCCCATCTGCACCTTGGGAAACTGGCACAGAGGTTTGTGCAGTTAAATTTAATACCGACTCCAATTTGAATTAAATTTCTTGAACACATTTAATTTGAAAAATTCTTAGTAACTCGAACATCTATCTACTGATCAATAGCAACTTAGCATTTTTATCTAGACAACTATTCAATACTGTATATTTACCAGGATGCCTGGGTGGCTCAGTTGGTTGTGTCCGACTTCAGATCAGGTTGTCATCTTGCAGTTCCTGAGTTCGACCCTGACTTCGGGCTCTGTGCTGACAGCTCAAAGCTGGGATTCTGTGTCACCCTCTCTCTGCCCCTCCCCTGCTCATGCCCTGTCTCTCTTCCATTCAAAAATATACATTAAAAAAAACAAATAAAAGACTCCATATTTACTTGATTTCTCTTTTAGAAACCTATTTGGAAATGTTTTCAGGTAACTAATTGAGGAAAACAAATCCTGATTACCACCTGACAGTTGAAGTGCATTTTGTAGTTCAGTAGTAACATAGAAAAAGCCAAGTATATCAAGATGATGACATGTGAGAAACCATTTATAAAAAGGCTTGTAGAGGGCAAAAAACATTCCCTAGCACATTTAAAGCAGACTACTCAGCTTAAAAAATAGGTTTGCATATTGTATTTTGTTTTAAACAATATCGGCAAGTATATTATAGCTTTGACTACTATAGAAAGATTAATCTGATATTAGTCATGATGGGGCAAGACTATCTAAACCAGGTGATATTCTGGCTCCTTTGAAAAGGTTTTATTTCACATAAAGCTATCCTGCAAGGGAAAAAATTTAAATAACAAAAAAAGTTTAATATCTTTAATGCTTTCACATTATTTCATTTTTAAATAAAGTTAAATGCCCAGTAGGTTTCATCCTTCTGTTGATTAGTTAGCATTGAAAAGTCATTTTCAAATGGTTAGAGAGAATCAACCAGGTCGTCGTCAGTCCACTCTTCCTAAGAAGGAAAGAAAATGTAAGAATAACGTTACACTGAAGCGTAACATTACTGTTTGTTTACTTCCTTGCCTCCTTTAACTCTGGTGACTACAGGAAGGTAAATCAACCAGGAAAATCTGTAGTAGTTCAATCTTAGAACAATATGGCTTGGTCCTGCCAGACTACACCAATGACTGGAGTACGGTTACAACTGTGACCTTTTGCCTATTATTAATTTATATCTAACTGATAAGATACAATTTATTTTTTAAAAAAGGGTAAGAGGAGAATCCACAGAGACTCAAATAGCAAAAATTTAGCATGTTCTGTTTCTCTGCCTTTCATAATCATAGGAAGAATTCCTCATCAAGTAACAATCATACTTCAGAACAGGCTAAGATAATAAAACAATGGGTATAAAGAAGGGTGCAAAAAAAAAAAAAAATGAAAATGAAGGCTTTCAAAGCCCACACTATATTAATACTCGCATTCTAGAATGATAAAGTCTTAACAGTATGGTCAGACCAAATTATACAAGAATAACTTAAAATATACCTTTGGAGAACATACCTCCTCATGTTTCGGTTTCTTGGAAACATAATCATCATCTTCATAGCCTTTCCTCTTCTTCCTATAATTGAGCAATCGTCAATAAAGAATTGAATACTGGTAACAAACCACCAAATAAACTAGCAAGGGTGGTAAATGGAATGTATATAGCTGCTGAAGAACAAAGCCTGGATAAATGGAAAGAGGAAGTATGGATAAGAAGATATTATCTTTCAAATTACTTTTATGTTCAATGCAATTCTAAAATCCTAATAAAATTTTTCATGGAATCTGTGAAGTGGAACTCTGATGTGTAAAAAGACTGTGTAAAAATACCAAAAGAATCTGAACGAACGGCGTAAGGTCCCAGTTATCATCACTATATGTAAGATACGGTAACATAAAGTATGGGATTGGCAAGAATCAATCAGATGAATGATCAGAGCAGATAAGCAAAAAACAACTATGTATGTATAGGAATTTAATTACAATGAATATTTAACTGAGAAATATTATGAAGTTTTAAAAAATGACTTGTATAACATTACTGACTTAAAAAATGAATATTAATGAGATTTCTACCTTACAACATTCACAAATAATTCTAAATTGTTTTAACAGCTGAGCAAAAAGCAAAATGTAGGTTACCTTAGGGTAAGAAAAGATATTCAGATGTAAAGGTATAAAACAACACAAAGTAAAACACAGAAGAAATCTATCACAGGGTGAAACAATTGAAGAAAACAGCTGTTAAGATATATTTGAAAAGTATTTAAAATATATAAAGAGCTACAAATTAAGACAATAATACCAGAAAACTACTCAAGGGTTATAAGTAAGCAATTCAGAAGTAGAAATACAAATGATTTGAATACAGAAACATCAATGCCTTACAGTAATATAGGAAATGCAAATTAAAATACCAGTGTGGTAACTCTTCACCCAGACTGGTAAAAGTTAAAGACTGGTACTATTAAATGTTGTACAATATGTCTGAGACATTAATGAAAAAAACAAAGTTACTTCACACACACACACGCAAAGTAAAGGATGGCAAAGGTTAACCGACTAGAAATTACCTCTGAGGTCACAAGTGGATTTGGGTTTTGGTCTAAGAGAGCTTTGGTTTACCTGCCATGCTTTGTAATTATATTTATGAATATAATAAAGCAGTCCCCTGTTTGGCATGCTTCATAAATCCTTGGATATTCTACTACCACTGGGTAGTTACACAATTTGACTCGTGTACCTGGATGTGAAGGCCGTGGAACAGTGTTCTGGTTTCTCATGCATTATCCAAATGCGTATATTCACCGATTTGAGAGGTAAACATCTTAGATGCATCCTTAACTGTAAGATGCCAGGGCTAACTCCCATGAAATACTGACAAATAAGGTAGAACCTTTGAATCAGAATGCATTCTACAGAAAACAGAAAATAGTTTTCCCATTCTTATTATCTCTGCCTGGACGCCCAACTGCTCAAAGTCCTGAAAGATTAGGTTTGAGTAGATCCTTTAATTTGCAAAGCATAAAGAACCCAAATCGCTGACTGCCACACTTAGCCTACAAATCGGTAAGGTACCTTATAGGTGTTCTTACGGCTACCAAGAAGATATCTAATAGCACATTTTCTTACTGGTTCTGTCTTCAGAATAAAGTTTACCACTGAAAGAAACTAAGAACTTTCTCTACTCTACCTAATAGCAACCTGGAACAGTATACTTGTTCCCTCAGACAAGATATCAGACCCACAAAGAACCCAAAGGTTAAAAGGGTGAGAAGAGGTCAAAGATTCCTGAGGAAGACTTTTAGAGACCCCACAAGGAGTCAAAGAATGGAACAGGGCCTACAAGTCAAAGAGCACATCACTCACAGCAGGAGAACTGTATTAACAAAAGTCAAACCATTACCTCATGTTTATCCTGTTAGAAATGTCCACTCAATTAAAAAAATCCAACTTAATGGGCAAGTCATTTTTTCCCACAAAAGCCAACATTTACCAATTAAATGATTTCTTTTAAGGACAAGCTAGACTTGACAACAATTGTCGAGTAACACATCCACTTACGTAATTAAGTTAAGGGCAAGCTCGGCAGAGTGACATCTCTCTAACTTCTGTTTCAGAACAGCAACTTCTTCAGATCTGGGGGGCTCATATTTTTTTACCAAGTTCCTCATACCTATGTGGATAAAAAAGAGTTCTAGCAGATAATAAAGTCTTCTTCCCATAAGGGAGCTGAATATTTTCCCACCTTGTAATAGGAACAATAACAAAACTCTTGAAATGTAATTATTATCAGGATTTGCATTGTTCCTCATTAAAATCTAACAAACAGCATTCCTTAAATAATGAGAGCCATCTGCTGGTTAGCCTGTATCACATACAGCATAAAAATAAGCAAGTTCTACATTCTAGTCAGTTCTCCCCCTCTACCCCCCCCAAATCCCACTGTGGTCACCTTCTGCTCAGGTTTAAAGCTTTAAAAATCACATGATTTAGTTAACATGCTTTGTTCCCTGCCACTCACTGTATTTATAACATTCTATCCTACGGATTATAGTCCAAAGGTTATACTTCTTTACAAAGGAAACCATTATTAGATAACATGTAATAAAGGGAGGATGCTTAGTAAAATGTGTCAATGGTCCTTTCCTTCAACAACGCGCAGAACCTATACACTAAAGCATCGCCAAGAAAACAAAAATGTCCTCTTTTAGGATAAAAGCAAACTGCTTTGTCAGTGACTTTGTAATTGTAGAACCATCCTCTACCAACCAAAGAATATAAGCCTCAAGATTTTCCAGGGGAATGATGAGAGATCCAGGGCTTATTGTTAGCTGGCCACATGCTCAAATAGGGAGAGCTAGTGGCTTATTTATACTGCAAAGCAGTGTTTTCAACCGAATTAGTACTTGTGACTCAGTACCCTTAGGACAATACCTTTGTTCCAAAAACTTGTGAGTAAGACACCTGCATACTGTTGAAGCTCGGAAGGTTTTGTCAAGAGCTATTCTTACTTCATGCTAAAACAAGTTGAGTAAAATAAAGATACCTGAGAAGAAATCCGTAATAAACTGTCAGTGTACAAGGAGCCTGAAGGTTATCTTTAAGGCCCCTTTAACCTACTAAATTCCATGATCCTAATGAAGATCTCTAGCCAGATCACAATTACCTTTGGAAGTGAACCCTCTAGTGGTGTAACTGAAGACATACAGTTTTGTGATTCATAAATCACCAATCCGTCACTCTCAGTTAAAGAGGAAGGGAAGCCCTCAATTTCAAGCCAGATAATCAAGAAATGAGATTTACATGCTCTGAAGCATCTTAACTTTTAAAACCTAAAACAATATAAAAATATGCTATTTTATTGGTTTATTATTCCAACTACAAATTTAATTAACAAGGACAAATACCACAAAAAATTGGGGGAACAAACACAACTGACAGAATCCTAATAGTAGGATGAGCACTCAGTGTGACATGGGCAAGAATGAAAGACAGGGCTGGCTAATCTCTACTCAACCATTAACACAGGGTCTCTCAGTTTGGGCTAGAAAATTCTTTGCCGTGAGGGGCAATATTTGTTTCCCAAGTCTGCTATTAAAAGACCACAAACTCAATACGGTTTTAAGCAACAGGAATGGATTCTCTCACGGTTCTGAAGCCCAGGAGTCTGAAATCCGTTTCACTGGGCCAGAATAAATGTCCGCAGAGCC